CCAGTATATCTTTGAACTGTGGGAGGAGACCAGAGCATCTGGAGGAAACCCACGTGAGCACAAGAAGAACATGCAGACTCCACACAGACAGCACCACAGTAAATGAACCCAGGGCGCCAGCGAGCCAGGGATGCTGACCACTGCGCCACTGTGCCTCCATAATTATTATTCTACTGCAAGTACAAAATGCCACCGAGACCTTAAATTGAGTTTTTAACAATTACTACTCATCCAAGCTGAGCTCACACAGCTCAGAATAAGATCCTGTGCCCTCTCCTCTCCTCTTAGCCCACAGCGACCCACTGTCAATGAGCCAGGCAGCAGAGGGTTGAGCTAGCACTGAACACAGCTGCTCACTACTTAAGGAGACTGCACCGAGGACACTGCCCAAGGTTCAAACGTCTTTCAAACCACCTGACCCCTCAAAAACACAAAAAGGAAGCCTATCTTATAAAGAAGAGTTGCGTGTGAATAAGGTGATTCATATTAAATGGTTACTTCATATTGAAAGACAGCTGGAAATAATATTCATGCAATTATTCCACATATTACTGATGCACGATAGAAAACAAAACCAGTTGTTTTTTAGCACTACGTCAAATGGGAGTATTTATGAAACAGATATCACACTGTAGTATGTTGGCACTTGTTTTAATTTAAAGGGATTTTTTTATTAAGATTCTCACTCTGTATCCTAATACATATGTCTGGAGCTGTTAAATTAATATTGCTTGGTACATTTAAAATCTAGTATAGTAGAGTTTTGTTTTATCTATCGAGTGACTTGATTTGAATATCCAAAAGCCTTAGAAACACTGACAAACCCAGCTTCAGAACCAACAGTGAAACCTTAATCAACAATCACAAGCAGGAGATACACGCAGTTGCATTTTAAACTAAGAACAGATGCCACTTCTTTGCACAAAGTGTTGTGGGAGTATGGAACAGTATGCTAGAGTGTTTTTTGTGTAGTGGTATTAAATATTGTTAAAAAACAGGAGCTTTGATGAGGACAAAGAGAAAATCCCAATTCACTCAATATACAATACATATAGGCGAGAAATCTCAAATTAACTATGACAGATTTTCAGACAAGCTGTAGTTATTAAAATTCTGGATTTTTTTTTTCAAATCCTAGATAATCAAAGATATGGAATCACACAAACGGATATATCAATCTAAGTCAGTTATGATCTGGTTTTCTTTCTAGCAGAACTGTAACTGACCATAAAGCTTATATTAATTATTCCCAAAATTAAATATTAACAGAGGTGAATTTCACAATTTTATTTATTGTTTTGGCTTCACAAATGAATATACTCCCCATTTTCTGGAAGAATTTTAACAGTTAAAGGACACAAATGTGACACTATTTTATAGTAAATTATAGAAAAAAAATGTTATTCCACTTGGAAAATTAGCTGGCCCTTAGAAGCATATAGAAGGGGTGAAATAAATTTTGCACAAGAGCAAAACACCTTCAAAGTCATCCTGTAATTGTTTAAAGTAGATTTTTTAAGAGGCGCTGTTTATGTAAACTACCAGAATCCAAACTGGGGCTCTTTCCTAGTTGGAAGTGTATTCTTGTCCCATTTATTTTTCTAATAAGGCCTAGATTTGATCAAACGTTTGTCCTACTAATAGCAAATTCTATATTTGATGTTGAGTTTGCACGGGGAAAATGCAAACCCACATTTAACAAGCAAGACGCCAGTAGTTAGCACTGCTCCTGTAACGAGAGATCTGGCAGCTGGGTTGTGATGGAACACAGGTTTGAGTCATAAGCCACACGTCTGTGCCAACGCATTTATAAATCAGGCTCAATACAAGACAGCCTGCAAGAAAACTAAGGAGCCATTCAAAGTAGTTATTAAAGAAAGGCGAAAGCCCAACACATCTTCATGAAACATCAAATCCTTTTTGATTTGAGTTGATCTGCCACAAGACAAATAACATGTTTTTGTTGTCCCAAAGAAAACGTCTCTAGATTATTTAAATTTTAAATAGATATTGAAAGTTTAAACTCACCACAGGACAGATTTTATTTATGTTTCTTGAGTGTGTCTGGGAATGACAGACAGACAGAGGCCTAAAACACCCCACCGCCAACTTAAATCAGACCCTCGATCTCTCAAAGTTTTGTGGCCCGGAAATTTTAAAAAATTGAGAAGATCCTATATCTTGTTTCTTTATGATATATAAATATCATACAGTATATACACTTCACATGGCTGCCTTGGAACATGACACTGAAAGACTTTACCTTTCATTAATGGTACAGAAAAGTGGGCAAGACAGGACACTAGATCATGTTTAACAAACCTGTTACGTGCAGGCGTGTTCATTATTGCAGCAGTGTGGAGGAGTGGTAAGGGCTTCAGACTCGCAGGGTCACGGGTTCGATCTGGGGTGGGGCACTGCAGCTGCCCTCTAGAGCTAGGCACCTCATTCACTCTGCTCCACTAAACGTCTCCCTGTGTGAAAGGCTGCTCTCCAGGCCACTGTTGCACCTGAGAACTTGGCTGTGAAAATGGAATTCAACTGAATGAATGACTGTAAGTAACTTTGCACGTATCAAAACATTCCCCACAATAAATGAGACAATCAAAATATTTCACTTTTAAAAATGATACAGCACTGTCCTTCTGTAAAAATCCCATTGTATTCCTACATGTAATAAAATAGCGTTCATCCACTGAAGTGCAGCAAAATACCACTGTCTTGATGTGTTGACGTATCACTAAACACACCTTTACAGTTCCAGCACTAGACACAGCCGGCAGATCCCCTCTTCCACTCCAGACAGAGTGACAGAGGTTTTACCAAAGATAGGAAGCTGATCCAGTGTGTGACCGTATTGTTCCTTACAATACAAAGCACTGAACAAGGACAGTGGGTGGTGTCATACATTACATACTTGTGTATAGTTTTACTGTGTGCTTTTAACATGGTGAAAGACAAACTAAGTAGTGACACCAACGAAGGCACATACAATAGTGGAAAATCCTTATAAATGAAACAATATGAAATTCCTCTACATTAAACCTCTTTTTATCTCTTAATGGTTAAAATATTTTAAGTTTATACTCCTTTTGTTAATAAAAAAAAAGGTTTTAGGCTCTAAGGCATCCAATCGTAAAGAAGAACAAAGGGGTCCACGTTGATGTTATTGTCCTCATGTCCAGGTCACAGAGGTTAGAGGTCAAAGTTGAAATGAAAAATGGCTATGTAAGCATGTGGAGTTTTCTTAACAAGACACGGGCTAAACTCGGTGCAGCGTTCCACCGATTAATTTTTACGACTTCGGGAAAGGGTGCACTACCTTCTCTGAAACAGCATATCTGGAGTATTTAGATGGCCTTGGTGCACATGTCGCAGGTTCCTGCAGTTCCTGCTGTGCGCAGTGCTGGGAAGAAGACAGCTCATCGTGAATAAAGAGAGGTGTGGCTGACAGAGCAGCCTCTGCGCGCTTTGGTGAAATAGCCCACACACACACAACTTTCACCATTTCAGCTTCATCTGACTCAAGAGCTCTAAAATCCTTCTTTCCGAACAAGAAAATATCATTCCTGTACGATTATGTATCTTGATTTAGGATTATTTTGGTTAGTATTCGTAGCGTCTGTACTGGCAGTGAGTAAAATATTGTTTTGTTTATTATTGCTTCACCCTCAGATAGATACATATAGCGGTTATCTACTGGTGAAAAGACCAGTCTCCGTCTTCTGTGAATTTCCATCTATGAGACCAAATCAAGACTCTCAGGACAGTTTGTGAAACAGAGGTGATGTGCCAAAGTCAGGCTGCTCTGTTTTTCGTGACAACTTAACTGACCTCCCTTTTTAACTCACTTCATTCGCACCTGCGGGATTCAAAATCCACACCTTATTAAAGACATTCCTACAAAATAATTTAAGGCTCTGGAAGGAAAAAAGCCTCAAACTGAGCCATGCTATCAAATAATCAAACCTGATCAAAATCTGAATTTATCTTGAGGACTTTAAGACAAAAGTCTGTTAGTTATGTATCAGTTATGTATTTGTATTGTACTAAAATGACGATGAGACGCTAACTTCCAGCACTGTGTGTGCCCGGTATTATTGTACTTGTAATAGAGATAGTCAAGAGCAGTATCCCTTTCTACAGACTGCTCTCCCAAATTTGTATGATATAATCTGATCTCACAACCACCTCGCCTTCATCTGCACGAACCTCAGATTAACTTTATGAACCGCCTGCCCTACAAGGATGGGAAACAACCAAGGTCAGAAGGCGGAACCCTAGAAGAACTAGAGGCCAGTCTAGAATCGGTGCTTCATGTCAGGCCTGCAGCCTGCAGTGGAGTTCCAGACTCCGAGTATTCCAGAGCTGGAGGACCTGAGGACCTGACGCCTCCAAAATAACAGGAAAAAGGCACCGTGGAAATCTTCCTCCTACAAGTTAAATTCAATTAGCTAGTCAAACGTGCGAAGCTTCTTAACACAGCCTGTCCCAAAAATAATAAACCACAAACTCGTGGTCACAAGGTATGCCATTATACTCCCGGAGTACTGGCCAGCGTTCCTCAAATTCGGCATACGCGACACGCAAGGTCTGAAGCTTCTTCCTGTACACTCATGCAACATCCTTTCAGGAATTCCGAAGAAATCTTCCTTCACGGAGGTACAACAGCTTCTCTCTCTCTCTCTCTC